CGTCGTGAAGAAGGAGATTCCTACCATAAATAAACTTTGGTTGGAATTGAAAACTGATATTGGTTTTAAATATGGCAGAACATCGTTGAGGAGTATTTTAAATGGTTCAACGTATGCCAACATGTAGAAAAAATAGAAGATAAATATTTCCAATCAGATAGGCTGATGGATATGGAAATGGATGAATTTGTAATTAATGTTACAGGTGACACATCCGAGTCATCTGATGAAGACTCTAGCATGGATTCTGATGAAGATATGCGAATGGAAGGCGTTGATCCACTGCAGGACCATTGTTACACCAAATTTATAAATAATAATAGGTATTCAATAAAAGATTTACAAGGTTTCCTTGGACTTTTTATTTCGTTCTTTATAATAAATATTATAATGCTATTTCAGTTGTTTCAAAATACCTTTTTTGGAAAAATTTATTATAGACAAAATATCAGTAGTCATTAATCTTAGTATTAGTCCTTTTCATACACGCATATAATAGGTACCTGTAATTGTGTAAAAAAAATTGTAGTGGCGTAGGTAAACTTGTGTAGTGAGGTATCAAACTTATGAAAGTTAGAATCAAGAAATATATTTATTACGCGGATCTTAAACAATAAATATGGGGTTTAAAAAATTAATTAGGTCTTTGTAAGTTTAGGCTGAACATTACAGTTTTTTTAATTGAGATTTGGTAATCAATTAGGTAATTTATGTAATTTGATATGATTATACAATTCCAGTAATAAGATTAAACGAAGGAAAAAATATTAGTTAAGCTGGCAACATTAAGCACGCCATCAGTCGCGCGCAGAGTTATCTTGCGCGCACTATAGAGGGTGAGCGATATATACCTAAAATGGTAGTATCATGAGTATCAATCTGTAAACATGAAGCGTGCTCAAGACTTATTTCTTTGACATTTCCTTTAACACCTTTTCTCACATAAACGACCACTCCATCACTTTGATTAAGATGAAAATTAGTAGCGAAATATGAATAGTTTGTCATATTTGGGATTATTTTGTTGTCCGTAAGCCAACATTCTGTTAATACAATAATATCTGGATCAAAATTTAAGCGTGTGAGGGTCAGATGTACATCTTCAATATCACTGTAAACACTTCTAATATTTTGAGAAATAATTGTTAAATCACTATTTTTTACGCAAATATTTTTTGGTATATCCTCTACATCACAGCGAACAGCCTGTACTGTCTCCGTGGCATCAAGGTCATTTAGAATTTCTATGGAGCTATTCATTCTCATTAAAGATATTATGCGAGTGTAACTTAGATCGGGTTTGAGAGGTCTATCACAGTTTTTAAGTTGCCAATAGACAATCAGTTCACAATTCATGATAAGTGAAAAAAAAAAAAAGATTTCGGAGATATTAATTTACGAGGATTAAAGTTTGCAAAATGTATTTCCTTTTGCAAACTTTAATCCTCAGTTAGTTATCAGCTTAGTTATCAATTACTTTGGGTTTTATGTAAGTATCGTGTATTATTTGAATGAAAAGTATGAAAATAAGTGTGTATAGTGTAACACTGAGGTTTGTGTGACAATGAAATTGTTTCAATAGACAAATAAATAAAAAATAATTAAACAATTCATGAAAACAAAGTATACAGAGAACATAATGAACATTTGTAGATACAAGAAAAAAATTATTAATATTACGTTTTTATAGGAATATTCTACGGTTAACACTGAATCTAGTCATTGGTCCTGTTGGAGTTGTTGAATTTGTGCTTCAGATTTAATTTTTATTATACGAGAGTTTTCGTCTCTTCTCACATAAACTTTGCCATAAGCTGTCCAACAGAATTTATATTTCTTGGATCTGACGAGGTCCCGGGCGAGGAAGTGTAGTCGAGAGCCTTTTGCTGTGAGCTGCTCTGAAACAAAGACGGGAGTATCTTCTTTTCTGTGAGATCCCAGATGCTTAGCAGATAGCTTAATCTTATGCTTGATATTAAAGGCCTTGCTCATTTTCAGTATTTCTGTTTTTAAAAGTGTCGAACATGTTTCTACGATAATTGGAGTATTGCGTAAATTATCCCGCTTTCCGCGCACCCTATAGATGTCTTTGATATCAGTCGTATTTAAGTTGCAACCAATGTTTTTCAACAAACATGTTACCATATTAAAGGTCTTCTTTGGTTTCACCCGATTTTTTAGGTACGTTTTTAAGCTATTGCATAGCTTCTATCGCGGGCCTTGAGCGTGGGGACCGAATCCAGAAATTCATTCCGTAACGAAAAAACCTCACGCTCCCCACTCCGAAGGGCACGGAGGTGTGGCTTGAAGGCCGTGCATTGTCTAACGTCGTTTATGTGTGGACGAATTTATTTTATTTTAGACGACGGCTCCGTGGCGCAGTGGCTTGGCAATGAGTGACTGTGCCAGGAGTCGCGGGTTTGAATCCCGCACGGAACAAGTATTTGTATATCCTACAAATAATTGTTTCGGGTCTGGATGTGTGTCCTTATACAATTTATGTTTGTAAGTTGCCTCCGCGATACAGGAAAAAATCCAAGTGTGGGGGGTAACGTTTTTATAAAATAACTATAAAAGAATAGTGAATATTAATGGGCTGTATATAGATATACGATTAGCTTTATTTATTCTTTACATGAATCAGAAACTGGAATAAATACCATTAATTAGAACTAAACTTATTTTAAAGTTAAAGGTGTTATAGTCGATTAGTCTATGTTTTAAAATTGGGTTTTGTTTTTAAAGTTTAGCAAAACATGTACTTGCTTTTCTATCAGACATTTGATGTATATAAAAAACACCTTATAATTTATTGGTAATTTAATTATTTTTTGAAAACAGTAGCAATAAATATAATTAACACTGACTTAATAATAGGTACTAATTATAACTTAGAACATAAATGAAAAACTCATGACAAGGAAAGTGGCTCAGGATCATGCTTTGCGGATTACTTTGGAGGAAGATGTTCAGTAGTGGACTTGTGAAGAGCTGTAATGACGATGATGATTCGAAAACTTGCACGATTAAATTATAAGAAATCGACGCTTTTTTATATACGATAGGGTGACAAACGAGCACACAGTTCACCTGATGGTAAGTGGTTGCTGTGGCCCATAGACATCTACATCTATCCTCGATTACGAATCAAAATGCAGATGCGTTGTCACCCGTGAGGACTAAAATGAAATGCCTCGTTTCATTTAAAAAGTGTCTCTGGTTCTCTACACTCACTATACGAAACACATAATCATTAAGCTACTATTTTACATTGATATTCTGTGAGAGCGTGGTCCTTCCCCGGTCGAACCGAACCATTCGTGCTACAACTATACTTCTAATATAACTGCATGGTTCTACCACGTATAAACGACGTGCTTCATTTTTTTTTTTCATTTAAAATTGTTCTCGTAATAATCTGATTGTAAATAAATGTTCATTATTTTTTTATAAATAGCTTATCGATTAAAGCAAATGTTTAAAAATAATTGAATCGTGCTAATTAAAGTAGTAGGAATGTTTAAAGTTGAAATTGGCACTAAAAGGCTGGTAATTGGGCCATCCACCCTACAAAGCGTGAATATAAAATTTTAATCAGTTGCGTGTAATCACTCTGGAAGCTTGTAGCAAACTAAACTCGCGGCCAACGTGTGGACGCGGCGACCAAACTCTGCCAACAATCCTTTGATCTTTTGTAAAAAACCGACATCACATGGATCTCGCGCCAACTTGTGGGCCATCGTTCCAATACATACCAATGAAGCCCAAACACCCCGTCTACACGTTGGCCAATGCTATTGGCCACTACATTCGCCACTGTGTTGGCCAACGTGTAGAGGCGCCGTAACGTCGCTTCAGTTCGGCAGACTTCGGCTCGGTGTTTGTGTGTGTGCGACTAGACGTATGCGTGTAGAATAGCTGCTGTAACTTGAATTAATATCAAAGAAAAAAACAAATAAAAAATACTACATAAATAAATAATTATAATTGCATAAGTTGACAAAAATATTATGCAATAGCTTTACCGCGGCAGTCCCCGAGTGCCACACGTATTTTTAATTTCAAAATTGGTTTTACGGTTGTTCATTTGCATACCTTCAATTTTGTCCTGTAACAGAGTAATATAGTTTCTGTCCTCTTTTATCTTACTTTCTAAATGCTCTATTTTTTTCTGAAATTCTTCATTTTGCGCAGTTAAAAATGTGATTGAACTTTCAATGTTATTGTTTGATTGTTGAATATCTTTCAAAGTGTTAGTAATTTGTTTCAGTTCTTGTTTTTGCAACGCCAATGCGGCGGATATCATATTCTTAATTTCATCTTTAAGGCTGCTAAAGTCAATAATATTGTCGACTTCCCGTCCGAGATTGGCGAATTTTGTTCAGTTCAGTTCTTAGAACAATTAAATTTTTTATCTAAAAGTGTTTAAAAGTCATAAAGATTATTGTATAACCTAAAAATTCGTTATCGTCCTTTCTCACTCGAGGCCACGCCGATCATTAGTCTATAGGTTTCTCTGTCTACGTGTCTGTACTACTAAGAAATTCAGGACTTCATAGGCGTGATTTTTACTGACTGCTGTCGCAGAGATCAAGCTATCTTTTATGAACTATAGTGTTGTATAACTCAATGGATCTGGGGATTCCCTTATTATTGAATGAGCGTTACTGTGGGCATAGAAAATTGAATTTAATTTTTCATAAATAAAGTTTATTTTTATAAAATAGGTCTTTCAAGGTAGTTCATTTTTAAGTTGCTCCTATAATGTTAGTAACCTAGTAGATTTTAGCAGTGCCTTTGGTAGATTCTCTCATTAAAAACTGGTCACGCTGGATACTAGTTGCAAAGACAAAAATTGTCAATGGCTGAATTTGAACATTGAATTACGTTACGGACGTTACCTTTATAAAGTCGGGTTGGAAAACGACCACTAGAAGAGAAGTTATTGGTTCTGTAAACAAAATTTAAATCTTTTACTTTTCATTAATTTTTATTACACTATGGCTAAGAAGGATCTGGACCAGGTGTTGGAATTGGAAAACAAAATAGTGACACACGAAGCCTTCGGAAAGTCGTAAGGAATATTTATTTATTTAGATATTGTAAATATCTGACGAGCTACATGAGTAAAAATTCATTTTCAGGTACAAATGGTCTCCAAGGGATTTCGAGCTTGGTGCAGAATTAGGGCGTGGAAAATTTGGAAATGTACATGAGGCCATTGAAAAAAAAACCGGCTACATGGTCGCTATTAAAACTTTATTCAAGTCAAAGATTACAGAGTATCAATGTGAACGTCAAGTAATACGAGAAATTGAAATTCAGTCTCACTTAAAGTAAATAAAATACATCATACATTTTAACATGAATATAGTAATAAATTTTTCTGTCTTAAATTGTTCTTATGAACTCTAAACATTCGTGTTAAACTAAATATATTAATTTATTTTTGTGTGACTTATAATCAAAAATTTCTGTGTTAACTTTACAGACATCCAAACATTTTACGTCTGTTGACGTGGTTCCATGATGAGAGACGCATTTACCTTGTTGTGGATTTCGCTGCTGGTGGAGAATTATATAAACACCTCATAAACACACCTGAAGGCCGTTTTACAGAAGCAAAGGCTGCGAAATACATTTATCAAGTAATTACCCTATACCTAACGTTATTTTAAATGTCATTCCGATTAATAAAAAATTGTATAATATTTATGAAAATGTGACAGAACAATATCCTCAATTAATAATTCTTATCCATGGTAATAATGGTTTAACACAATTTGAAGAAAATTGAGTTAAAACCTTGCATATTAACTAAGTGATACACTATACATACATATTACTTTACTGCTATGTGGCCACTTAGAAGAGATATTAACTGGCTATGGGTACAACTCTGACAAGTATTACCACAGTGAGGAATTACCAATGTTGTTGCTAAAACACTTGCCAAGTGTAAGACTATAACAAATATTACAGCTGTGAGCAAGCATCTAGGCAGTGTAGGTTCAGCAGTGGACTTTATATTGACTATAATAAATTAGTTTAATGTGGTGGAGCTATGCTGCAGCTGTATTATGGTTGTAAGCATGAATTAGTTGGCTCGAGGGGGGTAGGACTATGCTGTCACAGAATACCAGTGTAAAATAGCAATAATGCTTTTGTGTTTCATATGGTGAGTGTTGAGAAACAGGAGACCTGTTTTACCAGATATGAGGCATTCTTTCACTAAGATACCACGATGATGTGTTGTCACCCCTGAGGACTACCTCAGGGGTGACAACACATCTGTATTTTGATTCTTAATAGAGTACAAATGTAGACGTGTATGGGCCAGTGCATCCACTTACCATCAGGTTCTGTGTGCTTGTTTGCCACCCTTATTTTATTTTAAAAAATAAATACATTTTCTTGTTTACCAGCCTATATAAATCAACTGCTTTGTCTGTTTGTTACTATACAGTGGACTCCGGTAATCCGAAAAACATTTTGCATGAGAGTGTTGGACTACCGAATTTGTCTTATCATAGAGTACAGCCTAAGACCCCTATAATCCAAATCTCATTTTTACAGAAGAGTACTTGTAATCTGACAAATTACAGATCCTATGATAGGATTTTGTATGTTGTATATGTATTCTTAATCTTATGTACAAATCATACTTCATTACATCAAATTCAAACTAAACAATCAGAATCAAAATAATATCCTACGCATTGAGTGCTGTAGTGGTGATGTGTTCAAGTTATAACTTGTTCAATCATGCATTGGCGAAGTTTGTCCAAAAAATATTCAATAATAAATAATAGACCATGTCTGATTGGACATGGGCCGGATTATGGAGGGTCAACTCAAATCACATCTTTTCTATGATATGTAGTTCATATATTTACTGTAAATATTATTTGTAACTAACTGCTTGTAGAAAAAAGCAGCAGTTACTTTCGTATATTTCTTTATCTTCTGAAACTTTATTAGGTGGGAGTATTCATGGTCATACTCGGACACAAGCCTCTTGGTCCGAGGTTTCTTGAGCGGGATCTAGTGAGAGCACTCACGCAAGAGTGACTACTGCTATTGCACATTTTTATTTTAGTTTATCACTAGTTGTTAAAGCATTAAAATTTCAGGTTGCGGATGCAGTTGAGTATTGTCATCAACACCATGTTATACATAGGGATATTAAACCAGAAAATATTTTAATTGCCTTCAATGGTGATCTCAAACTTGCTGACTTTGGCTGGTCAGTGCATGCTCCTTCACAAAGGTAGGTTAATCTACATTTTATTTATTGTAAAATGCAATTTTTTTCTGGTATCTGATACTAAATTCTAGCCTACCAATTATTTTATCACTATATATTTTATATGTAGGGGACTTAAAATAAGTGATAGCCCCTGTATTTTGACTTGCACTTGTACTGTAATTTAACATTATTTGAGGCATTATTTAGCTTCTCACTTGATTCTTCATTATCACTTTTGTCGAAATTTACGAGGCATACAACATTATAGCAGTCAAAAATCTTAGTATTCTTTATCTTTTAGACGAAGAACTAGGTGTGGAACCTTAGACTACCTCCCACCCGAGATGATAAGAGGAGAAGTTTATGATTTTTCTGTTGACCACTGGTGTATTGGAGTATTATTATATGAATTCCTAGTGGGTAAACCACCATTTGAGAGTGAAGACCAGGACGAGACATATATAAGAATTCTAGCTGTAGACATGACATACCCTGAACATGTCTCTGAAGATGCTAAGGATCTGATATCTAAGGTATAATTTTAATATAACTACACAAAATTACAGTTTTTAAAGCAGCAAGTGGTGTTGATAACAGCTTTTAATTGTTCTTAACTTAAATAAAAATCATTTTTTGATCTGAAGTGACAAAAGCTTAATAGAGATTTCTAAGCTCTATGTGCAATCAGTGCCAGCATTATAAACAGATGTTCTCAACCATTTTCGTTTTGGAAGTAAAAACCTTAATTACTATAAACAATGAAATACAAAATCTAGGTAGAGAGGGTAAGGCTGGTGGCTAAGGAAAGTAATTGTGCATAGCATGAAGTTCATTATTATTTCTCTTTAGGATCTAACATAAAATTCAGTGTTAATGTTTCTTTTTCAGCTTCTCCGCTCTCAAAGTAAAGAAAGGTTATCGCTGAATGAGGTAAAAAACCACTACTGGATACAACATAATTATGAGGCAATAGTAAACAAGGAGTAACGAATGCATGACAAGCGAGTTTGTTTTTGTTTATTTTTGTTTTGATATTGATTTGTTGTTGTTGTCTGAAAGCAGTAAAATAGTTGAATGGGCCCTTTCGTGTTGTGTCAACTGCCAAATCAGGAGGAGTCAGTATTGAAATCTCATAATGTTTTGGCTTGTGGCTCCACCCACACTTACAGGCCATTCAGCTATTTTACTATCTATTAATTTATTATTGCATATTTTACTTTTGTTCTGTTTCTATATGATTTACATGTAAATAATAAATTAAAATAATGAAAATGAAAAAATATACATTAATTTATAATATATAATATAAGATAATGAAATAGAAAGCACAGTAATTTTAATTCTTTACTCCCTTATTCATAAACGTTATTTAACTTTAAGCAACACTTTAAACTATTGTTTAAAAAATTGGCATTCATAAACAATGATTAGAGTTAATCATCGTTTCTTAACTGTCAGATTAAACATCCTCACACCCTTGTTTAAAAGCTTAATCAACAAAATGGCGGACCAAACCCCTAGCAATCAACATATGATTTTTCGTGTGACAGATTTCATTGCCAAATTGCTTTGCTATTGACTTATTTTTCTACTGGTTTTGCGTGATTTTTACATTATCGTAATGGATTATTTTGATTTTGGTGACAACTTATACAATTTTGAGCAGGATTTGTTAGATGTACAAGAGTATGTGCCCCTTCGAGCAAAAATATATAAGCCCAAGGTGGGATCCTCTAGTGGACTATGATGTTGTGGAATTTAGGAAAAAATACAGATTTTCCAAAGACATAATGTTGAAAATAATAAATCTCGTAAAGGATGACATAGCTGTGTACACAAGAGGTGGCGGGATACCGGTCCACATTCAAGTAATGTCTGTGATTAGGCACCAGGGGCGGCATGAGGTGAGTGCATATATTATCTTAGAATTTATTACCTACTTAAATGAATATTGTCAATATTACTTCAATGAACGGTTAAGGTAGGTAGTTGTACATCTACTGAGTTTAATTTTACATTAACAGATACATGATGACTGCGGAGAATTGCACGGCATAAGTCAACAATCCATGTCTCGCCTCTGTAAACGAGTTGGTCGTGCATTAACCAGTAAGAGCTCCGAATTTATAAAAATGTCCACAACAATTGCTGAACAGAGTTGTGTATAAAGAGAGTTTGCTGGTGTTTGTGGGTTTTCTTATGTAATAGGAGCTATTGACTGCACCCATGTAAAAATTAGAAAAGTAGGCGGTGAAACTGGTCAGTATTTTGTAAATAGAAAAGGCCATTATTCTATCAATACACAGGTAAGAATCAAACCGTAACTTAAACAAAATAAATAACATTCTTTATATTATAGTTCAGCATTAACTTCAGTACTTATAACACTGTTTATGAGTCTATTTATAGGTATTTATTTAATCATTTATTTTCAGGTAGTATGTGGCCCTGACCTGACAATCAATGATGTAGTGTGTGTCGTTGGAGAGGTAGCACTCATGATGCCCGCATTTTCCGGGAGAGTGAGATAAAAAGGTTTAAAAATGGTGAATTTAGTGGAAAGCTACTAGGAGACAGTGGATATCCTTGTATGTCATATCTGCTCACTCCAGTTTTACGCCCTCTAACCGAAGCCGAGCACTGCTACAATCACAAACACATACGAATAAGAAATGTAGTAGAACGGTGTTTTGGTGTATGGAAAGGCAAATTCAGAATATTGTTAGAAGTTATGCATGGTTCATATGAAACAATAAAAACCACAATCATAGTTTGTGCTGCATAATTTGGCAATCAAATGGAATGAAATTGATGAAGGAGGTACATTATACAAATACTTATTTTCCAACCCGAGATGTACATAACCCTCCTACCTTCTAGTGATATCTAAAAGGAGACTACAAGCAATAATGTAACAATTTATTTTTCAGATTATGCACACTCTGACATCGAAGAAAATGAGGAAGACAGTAAATTAAATAGCACAATAAATGTAATACGAGACATGTTTATTAAAAAAAAATTTAATAGTAAAATGATAACTTAATTTTGATCTGCGAGTTTTTTTCCCCAGTATTCATTTTCCTTTTTTATTATCTTCAGTCGCATTTTATGTTCTGCTTCCATTATTTCCATATGCCTTCTGTACTCTGCTTCTTGGAATTCCATTTATTTCTCTCGAGATTTTACCAAGAGAAATAATTTTCTCTGTTCTGAGGTAACAGGTGTGACCTTAAATGATAGAAAGCAAAATTGATTACAATTTCATTTAGGAAATACAAAATGTGTTAACTATATTATTTTAATATAATACATACTCTCTTTTTTAATTTTCTTATTCAGTTTGGGCTCTTTTTATTACCTTCCAGTTATGGACTTGGTGTCGGTACACACATATATATAATATATATATATATATATGTGTGTGTGTGTGTGTAATAAATGAATGTAGGTACAGTTGACCTGCGGTAATCTGACAAACGTTTTGTCAGGCGGTGTCGGATTATCGAATTTGTCGGACTATGGAGTACTGCCGCAGCCCCCTGGTGGTCCGGAATTTTTTGAAAAGGAGTATCTTGTAATCCAACAGATTACATGTCAAATATAAAATAGTACAAAATAAAAATGTCACGTGATGCACAATGAATACCTAAACAGTAAATAAAAAATCCCCGCAAGGCTGCTACCATAGCCACATTTGAACTGAGACAATCCACATTAAGCTAGATTTGTGGTGGCGAGGACTACTCGTGATTGCAACCTGTTTGTCGACATATTCGCGAAGGACACCTATTGCCGTGGCTTATTCATAGCGCGACTCAGATCTACCTACAAGTTAAAGACATGTCGGATTACAAGGGGGACAGATTAGCCAGGGGCCAGATTACGGGGGGTCTACTGTATATTAATCCTATGATAAATGTATAAGTGTGATGTACTAGGAAGTGAATCCCATCAGCAAGTCAAGGCAATTTTTTTTATCAAGAGTGTATAAAACAAAACTGATCATGTTACATACTATTTCTGCAAGTAGTGGTAGTGAAGAACCAGAACAACAAGGTTAAATTAAGTTTGTATTACTTATTTTATTCTGAAATAATACATATTTTAGGTTCAGTATGCTTCAATCCAAGACTTAAATATGACACTGGTAGATACCAATAATTACCACATGGTCTTTTTTACTGTGAAGGCTGTTACTATGAAAATAATTTACATCTACTTCAAACTCAGTATGAAGCATTTGTATTACTAGGCAGGCGAGGGCTTCCACCAGTTGCATTATAATTGCGCCTATATTCGAAGTCCCTCTTTTTGATATTGATTTTTGTATAACTCCACAGGTTTATTAATTGTGTGAGATCTCTCCTCGTGTCGTTCAGCTGATTAAAGCTAAAACAAAAAAACATACCACATGTATCATTCAGTACATGACTTTTATAACTTATTTAAATGTTGGGACAAACCTTTGGAGAATCTTGCCACGCTGCCTTTTTTAAATGATTGTTGTTTTTACTTACATCATTGTGTTCAGTAACATGTATTTTTCTTTTATTAATTGTATAAGGAAGGACTGCAAAAGCTACACTAGATATTACAGTGAAATGAATATTACATTAATATTTACTGATTACTAACAGAAATCTCTTCACACCTTTTCTGATTTACTTCAGCTATAGGAGCAGCTCCGCTTATAATTAACTTTATTTTCCATTTTGTAATATTTCGTTCTCAAAATTCACAGTTACTTCAAATCTTTAATCTCCAAAGTGCAAAGCAGACACAAACGGCACCATAGATTACTGTATAAACGGCACTAACCACCTAACCAGCAGTTAATGACAGCTTTATTTTTAAATTTGGCTTATGGCAAAAACATACTACGCATACAGCCAAGTTTCTACCAAAACATTATCACTGATAAAAAATTAAGTCATGTTTAACTAAGCAATGTGTGCCGGACGGGCGAAACTTTTCGGAGTAAATGTTGTCGAAGATACTTCGCGAGTCGCTCACGTCCTACACCTATAGGTTCCGGTGGGTACTTTCACTGCCGTCTTTGTGGTTACCGCTGAAATATTGTGGACTGAGGTTCAAATCAAAATGCACGATTAATAAATACAAATAGCAAGGTAGTGGCCAGCGGTTCGACTGATTAATTAGTCGCGAAATTTTATAACTATTGACCACGGTTGAACTACGGTTGTTCACTATTGGTTGGTCACTGTATATTTCAAAAGATTTCTTTAAATTGTACGGTGGTATCAAATATCTATTGGTAGTAGCTGGTTTTCTAATACTTCTGACTAGCAGCTATTATCAACTAAACTAGCTGATTTTATCACTTGTGTAACTGCGGATATCAGTTACCACTTTCACTATATGTAACTGCGAATATCAGTTACGACCTTTTTCGGCTATCTAACACTTTCACTATGTGTAACTGCGAATATCAGTTACGACCTTTTTAGGCTAGCTAACACTTTCACTATATGTAACTGCGAATATCAGTTACGACCTTTTTCGGCTAGCTAACACTTTCACTATTCACTATATACTGCTACTAGTCACTTCAGCTACCACCGGATACCACTCACTTCACTTCACTTGTCACTGGTAGTTCTTCACACTACTACTCCTACTGGGTCACGAGCCCCTAAGGTAGACTTTAGCAATACTTTACAGTGAGCCGCTTGCCATTTTCCGTTTTGCCCCTTTATTACATAAACTTTTCACTATACAAATGGCATAAATTGCAATATTTTCTATACAAAACTAATTGCTACACTAACATGCTATACATCATTAAATCGGTAGTCTGGTACTTTATTAGTATATCATAAAGGTTACTAAAAACATTAACATTGTAAAAAGTTATTAAACGAAATGTCCCAAATTTTCATAATATTTGGGTACATTAATTCTTTAATTTTTATATAACTATCAAATGCGTTTAATTGTACAAAATATTCCTACACTTCTTTAATCTATAAGCCATATGCTAATTCAATGTCATATTTATAACTCTTTTAGAACATAAAATTATTTTCATTATTTTTAGTATGAATGAACTATTACGCAGTTAATTAAAAATCTTCTAGAGTTCTACGATAAGACGCGCTGTGATTGGTCGATTTTTCTTAATACAGTAAAAGTTGTTTACATCACTTGTTATCAAAACGACATTCTATACAAATATACTAAGAGTTATAAACATGCTAAACGACTATACTAATACACGTTTTCACCGTTTTGTCAGTAATTTCATTATTAATACAAAAAACAATATTCTTTATAACTTTGTTTCTTAACGTTGTTAGGCCGTCGCGAACATCTCTCCCGCCGTGCAGCGTCGCGACGATTTTCTCACAGCGGCGCTGCATCCATTTCGGTGAGCGAAGTTGCTTCTACTTCGGCAGCGACACGAGTTTCCTGGTTGGCCTCTTGATTAGGCCGTTTGCTGTGCGTACCTCCACAGTGCGGATCTGTCCGTCCACACCGGGGTAAACAGCTTCCACCCTCCCTCGTGGCCAGGTGTTACGAGGTAACTGGCCGTCAGCTATGAGGACTGGATCGCCCACCTGGAGATTGGGACCTCGCCCATGGGCCTCCCGCCGGTTTTGAAATTCCGGTAAATACTCTCGGACCCAACGCTGCCAGAACATGTCAGCGAGTATCTGGGAGCGTCGCCAGTGTCTTTTGCTATTCATATCCTTTTCATCAAATACTCCAGGTGTCGGTAGTCTCGCAGATCCTCCTAAAAGGAAGTGATTCGGAGTGATGGATTCGTCGTCGTCGCTGTCTACAGAGATGTGAGTCAATGGTCTGCTATTTACTGTGTACTCCACCTCGCAGAGCAGAGTGGCTAATACTTCCTGGATGTCTCATGAAGGACGGTGTATAGTGCCGTTTTCACGCACCGTATGAGACGTTCCCACACTCTTCCCATGAAAGGCGCGGAGGGGGTTATAAAACGCCACACTATGCCTCGTCGACTGGCTTCTTCTCGAAAAGCCTCCCGAATTTGCTTGTCTGCGCCGTGCATGTTGGTGCCATTGTCGGAGTAAATCTCGGTGGGGCACCCTCGTCGAGCTGCGAATCTTCTTAATGCCAGTATTGCGGAGTCAGCGCTGAGGTTTGCGACAACTTCTAAGTGGACAGCTCTGGATGTGAGGCAGGTGAAGAGAGCTACGTATCTCTTCTGATGTTGACGTCCCACAGTGACGGAAAGTGGCCCAAAATAGTTCAGACCGGTGAAGGTGAACGGTCTCTGGTGATGAGCGAGACGTGTACTGGGATGGTCACCGGTCGCTGGCACTGATGGTTGTGCTTTTCTGATGCGACACTGTATGCATTGGCTCACTATCTTTTTCGTAGTGAGTTGAAGTCGGATCACCCAGTAGTGCTGTCGAACCTCGTTGATCGTAGGTTCGGTTCCGCAATGATGCAGGCTACGATGCGTCCAGTCAATGTATAACTGCGTGATGTAATGATCACCATCCAATATAGCTGGCCCCTTCATGTCTTCTGTGACTCCCTTCACGGCAGCTATGCGACTTCGTAGCGCGATGATCCCGTCTTTCAATTCTATTTGGAGCGGTCATAGGCGGCTATCATGAGCGACCTTTTTATTATTACGGAGATCGGTTATCCCTTGTGAGAAGGAGCCTTCTTGTATGGCACGTATCAGGAGCTTTTCGGCCTCTCTGATGAATTCGGCCTCTAGTGTGATGTACCATTGGACATCTTTATTTTTCACTTGACTGGGAGGCTGCGCGATTTGTCGCGGATTATTTTTCGATTTCCTCCAGTCGGGATCTTCCTCTTTGTCCTTTTTGGTTCATTTATAGAAGGTCCTGTCTGTGGTTTTGCGGCAGAGTGTTATAAATTGTAGCACTCCAGCCGTAGCTCGCAATAAGCGTTCCCATCTCGAAAACCTTGCTGGATCGGGAACAGCTTCTCGGAGTATCGGAGCTTGATGATTCCTTAATGGTGAGGGATCTTTCCTCGCCTGTAGGTTCGGATGACGTGGGTCTTTCGGTTGGCCATGCTGACGGTTCTTTATACAGAAATGATGAGCCGTTGTACCACTCGTGATTGGAGTCGAAGTTCGGTGGTACGTCCCTCGTGGAAATGTCAGCTATGTTCAATTTGGTAGGTACCCAGCGCCAATCCTCTACTTTACTATGCTCCTCGATTGCTGCTATTCGGTGGGCAACGAAAGCTTTGTAACTCCTGGAGCCCTTTTTTATCCACGTGAGGACAGTTTTGCTGTCAGTCCAATATGTGACGGCTTCGGGCGTCACGCAATGTGCCTGGATAACGGCGGCAGCTACGCGGCTTCCCATCACGGCGGCTTGTAACTCGAGTCGAGGTATGGACGTTACTTTCAGCGGAGCTACCTTCGCCTTAGCCATGATGAGGCTCACATGTACTGTCCCATCGGGTGTCGTTGATCTCCAGTAGACTGCCGTTGCGTAGGCGCTCTCAGTGGCATCGGTGAACACGTGGACTTGGAGTGAACGTGCGTCGCTAAATCCCAGGTAGCATCTTGGGATGCTTACTGATTTGAGCTGTTCCAGGTGTTGGATCCATGTGGACCATTGCTTAGTCAGGTCTTCGTCCTACTCCTGGTCCCAGTCTGTTCCTCGTCTCCATGCTTCCTGCAATATTTGCTTTGCTCCAATTGTAACTTGGGAGGCGAGGCCGAGCGGGTCATACAGCGACATTACTATTTTGAGTGCTTCCCTCTTGGTTGGTGTTTTATGCAGCAAATTAATTGGAAGTCGAGCGAGCTTTAGGTTGAAGCTCAGCTGATCGGTACCCGGTTTCCAGATTAATCCGAGTATCTTTTCCTCGGTTCCTTCGTTTCCCAGATCGACTGACTCAGATGCTTCATGGTCAGGTTCTAATTCTTTAACAACTTCTGGTGCGTTGGAAACCCATTTTCTTAAGGTGAAGTGCGCGTTTTTGTGTATGTCGCGTACTTCCTTCGATATTCGCATTGCCTTTTCCAGAGACTGGAAACTGTCGAGATAGTCATCCATATAGTGGTTTTGAATGATAGCTTCTACGGCTTCTGGATACTTGTCTATGTGTTTTTTAGCGTTCCAGTTCTTCGCGAATATGGCTGTGCAGGGTGAACTGGCTGCACCGAAAATGATCGACGTCATTCTATATTCTTGTGGAGCTTCATTACGTCGATCCCCTCTCCAGAGATATCTTAAGGCATCTCTGTCTTCGGGTCTAACTTTGACCTGCATGAACATTTCCGCTATGTCCGCGGAGACAGCGATATTATGGCGGCGAAAACGCATCATGACCCCTGGTAGTGATTGCAGTAGGTCTGGACCCGTGAGCAGGAAGTCGTTCAATGACACCCCCTTTGTTTTGGCTGCGGCATCGTGTACTATTCGAAACTTCTCTGGCTTCATTGGGTTATGGACGTCGAAATGGGGCAGGTACCATGTTCTTCCTGGTGTGCTA